TTATAGTTAAAGTAATATAAAATCGTTTGATTTATTATTTTTTAATTTTGCTGATAAAAATTTGATCATAGTAAAATGATTATCATAGCTGACATAGTTTTGATTACTTAGTTGATTTACCACTCTAGTACGTATGTATATATATATATAATTTCATGGTCCTGCTGTACATGCATTGTCATTGAGAGATAGTACTTCATGAATAGAAATGATTAAAGATGCCGTATAACCATACTCATTATAGTACTGTATTTACAAATAACACTGTTTTTGGTATGTATGTATGTACGTACAAAAAGTAATAATACTTATGCATATTTAGTTAAAATTTCATTATTACAATACTGTATATATATACGTACAGTACTACCAGTAATAATTGTTTACTTGGAGAACGGATTTAAATATAGCCTTAAATTTGTTTTTTTTTTGATTACATTGCATATATTAAATTGCCAGTATTTTTTTAGAATTATTTCAAAGCTATATGCTTATGATAAAAAAAATATGTATACATATTTGTAAAATTTCAAATTAACATGTTATATTTTATTGGCTAATAAATGTACTTCTTCTTTGTTTTAAGTAGTGCTCTGAAAATGTCATTCAGGTAGTTGTTCGGGTTAGACCATATCTAACCAGAACAAAACCTGGGTTTTTAATTACTAATTAAATTTTTACCAAAATTTACCATAAAAAACATACTTTATTTTTTAATTTAGTACTTTTAATTATATCATTCTGTTTTATATGAATTTATTTATTGATATTAATGCTTCAAGATAACAAATAGCGACCTCAAATAATTTTCTAAGTAATATTTTATTCCTACCAAGAATTTAAACACATGCATGAATGAATAGCATCTGTCCCAAGACTACTTCGTTTAATATCAATTAAATCAGCACTCTCAGAAAAGATCTGTTCTATTGGAATGCTAGTTGCACTAATTGTATGATAATCTCTCATCATCATAGCCAAATGCAGATATTCAGATTTATGATTCTTCCATCATTTAAGAATATCTTGCTTTGGGCTTGCCTGAGGAGCATTTAAATACAGCTCAATTTAATTTTGCTGCTCAATTTTATATCTTTTTCAATTTCTATAAATATAATCTAAAAGTGAATCATCATTATCAATAATATTATTTTTCTGATCATAATCAATAGCTTTATAAGAATATGATTCATAATTATTTCTATAAATATCAAAAATGGTTTCTTTAATATTTTCAATAAAACTTTGATCCTATTTATATTCCTCATAATAACCTAATTTTAAGCATAGATCAAGTACAATTGCAATATTGTAAAAAGCTGTATTATTAGTTTTTGCATAATATAATTTTAGCTTATTTAACTCTGCGCTTATTGCAATAGCAATTTGACAAGAATTATTGAGGTTATTGTAATATGTTTCAAGTTCATTGATTAAGTAGTTGTAAATTGGTATAATGAAGAAAGTATTAGATATTTGGTTAATGAGATCATGTTGGTTGTTCGTATAAACATTTTTAAAATGTTTATAATCTCTTTAATTTTATTTCACTCATCATTACAAAGTTGTATCAATTTAAGATCATTATCTAAGCTTGCAGTTGCATCTAATGCTTCATGCATTTCTAGTGCTTGTGCAAACATATTATATATAGAGTTCTATCTGGTTACTACATCTAAAATAAGATTATAGTTTGGAAGATTGGCAGCTTTTGCTTGACGTTCAAATTTTTTCTGCGCTGGGTGATGATCTAATTTTGACAATAAGTTTCCTAAGCTTAGGAATTATTTCTCTAGCCATTATTGGTACATTCATATTATCTAATATAGTATCCTCAGATTGTGCTTAATCAGCCTTGAGTTTTTTGAGTATTTTTTGAACAGTCAGGTTTAAAATATGAACAACACATCAACAATGTAATTCCTTAGTATTAAAAAAATTAATATTTTCATTTTTACATTTACATACTAAGTATTTCATAAAGGTATCATTATTTGTGGCATTGTCACTTGTAATTGTAAAAACTTTGTTAAAATTCCAAATTCATGATAACTTTTCACAAATGCATCACATAGGTTTTCTTCAGAGTGAGGATCACAAAGATTAATAAAATCTAATAGAGTATTTTTAAGCTCCCATTCTTCTGAAATCCAGTGCACTGTAATACTGAAAAATGAATCAACAGATACTGAAGTCCATGTATCAATTGTAAATGAAAGTTTTCCTGAAATATTTTTAAACAAATGTTTCATATTTATGTGTTCATTTTCAAAGCTATTTATTATATCATTTTTTACTATATCTCCTGTAGAAACATGTGCATTTGGATTTAATAACTTTATTATTTGTTGAAAGTTTTTGCATTCAGTAGTTATAAATGGTAAGCTGTCTAGAACTATCCATTTAATAATTAAATTTCTAAATGTAGATTGTGTAAATTTTAAAGATTCATCATCCTTTCTCAGATCTCTATTTGGATAGTGATTTACAAGGTGTCGCCAAAGATTTGTTGTATTGGAATCACCAATTTTGCAAAGCCAAGTTTTTCATTTTTCATTATCAGGATAAATAAGACATGATACTTTACAATGTGTTTGTGAATTTGGATGTTCTTGCAGAAGATCTTTTTCTTCAAATAGTTTTTCAACAAATAACTTGCTACACAAGTTTTTTTGTTTTTTAGAGAAGGCTAAATCATTACTATTAATGCTGCTAGACGTAATTGATATAAGTGACTGAGCTTCAGTTTCAGTATTAAGTGCAACAAGATCAGAATCAAATTCATTATTTTCGATGAAAGACATTATTGTCAATATTGAAAGAAAAAAAAAATTGGATCAAATATATTATAAGTGATCCCATCAATAATATCAATAATTAATCAGTTAATTTACGTATAATAGGATCATTATACTACATTTGATCCAAAAATTTATTAATAAGTTTTGACCTGAATCATGTGATATATTTTTAGGCTCGGGTTTAAAATTCAAGTTACCCAGGTTTTTATGACCGTTTCGGACTAGTTTTAAGATTTTAATTGTCTGTTTAGCTTAATATGCTAGTTTATTTACACCAGTGCTGGCGTTTTGCTGGCATCTAAATGTTTGCACTATTTACGATTAAAAATATAAAAACAGAATGAACCTATTATGAACATAAAAGAATATATATTCACAAAGTTTAAATACAAACCTAAAATATAGGCACAATAATTAAAACTTCTACCTTTAAAATGTCATCGTTGTTACTATCAAGATTCGGGAGAGCGATAAGCAACGTTCAAAGATGCCAAGATAATACTAAAGAAAATCTCATATGTTAGCATAATTTAGTATGTGATAGTATGAAAGAGAAAAATAGGATAGAATGAAACAAGAATAAGAAATCACGTGATAATCATACTAACAGAACCGTTGATCGAAATCTAAATAATCATGAGGATACAAAGGCAAAAAACTGAACACTAACACCGTTTTGCTGCTGGCAAATTACAATGTCACAGCATTTTACATTGGTTATATATATCGGAGGTAAAATCCGATTTTTTTACCATTATACGAAATTCAAAAATCCTTTCAAAATGATAACGTTACCAAACGAATGTCTTATCAAAATATTTAATAATTTTCGAATTAATTCTAAATTATTTAATAATATTCAACATAACCAAACTGATTATAAAAGCTCATTTTCATGCCTTCTTGTAAATCGTCGATGGTGTAGAATTATTATTCCAATATTATGGAGGGTACCTTATTTTAACGACAAAAGAGTTATAGAAAAATGTCTTTTAGCATTAAATGCTGAAGATCAGCTCAGTTGATCCCCTTTAAAATTATTCTTCCAAATTGTCCAAAGCCATTATTTAAATACGAAAGTTATATTGAATT